AAATTTTTTTTTTTTTTTTTTTTTGGTACCAGGGAAAGAACTTGGGTCCTTGCACTTGAGAGGCAGGCGCCGGAACCACTGAGCTAAATCTCCAGCCCTACCTCACATTCTTCTCCCCATTTTGACATATGTGAGAGTACCAAAAGATTGACAGCTGACCTCTACATTAACTCCACCTAGAAAATGCCTGAGTACTCTATAATTTCTTTGGTGTAACTTCAAAGCAACATTTTTAGGCCTTTTATGGATGACTCAGGGTGGAAAGGTAAAAGAAAGATTACTTAAGCCTATGTATCAGTAAAGATTACTATTTCTTAGCCTTCAAAACAATATCATTAGGTATTAATACTTCCATCTTATGAATAAAGAAGCTGGGATAAAAGGTTAAAACTTGCCTAAGAAAATATAATACCTAAAATAAGAAAGCAAATCCAGACTGTGCTGACTCTGACTGTGTTGCTTCACTGGAAAATATGATCTCTCTAAAGATTTTCTCCCAGTGTAACAATCACAATACCTGTGTAAGTCCAACTCATTCAGGAAGACAGGAAGAGTCTCCTACACATGGACCCTGATATGAAAGGCCACCTGAGCTGTGGATGGTTGCTTATACAAAGACATGATACCAAAATATCACAGGTCATCATTGAAGTGTTTTCTTCTCTATTACACAAAAAGGTCAAAGATGGACCTCAAATATGTGCTCCTAATTTTAAATCCTGACCAACTCCCAGTGTGCCTTTGCTGGCTGACTGCTGCAGCTCTAGCCAGGCCCTCCCCTGCTTGTTCAAGTGTCACAGAAGTCCTTGAGATGACCACATGTTCTATACAACTTCTGCCTACAATACCTGGGCAGGCAAAGTGGACTCGTCAAGATCATGTTCTTCCTAAGCCAACAGCAAGACCAGTGTCTTTGTAATATTATGTCAGAAGCACTCAGTTAATGACATAAGTGACAACTAAAATAATTTTACATATTCAGTAAAGACTTTCTTCAGTAAAGAAAGTAGGACCAACCAGGTAACTCTGTCATGAATTTTCACAATTTTTCAACATTTTTCAACAGTGTTTCTACTAATAAAGTTCAAGAGCATCACAGTAAGTCAACAAACAGGGCTTTTATGAAAAATGCATAACACCATACTTTGTCACTGGTATTGATGTCATCTACTCCCACTGAAAGATCTTCTTCAATCTCTTCACCAATACTTAGTTCACTTTTTTCTGAGCGATGGGTGGCACTAATCACAAGGAGAAAAAAGAAATGAGACATCTGAAAACAATAACTACTGTTCTTTAAATTTTTAGGTCTTTTGAGTAAAATACATTAAGTATCATCAACTTCATATCATCTCACTTGACCTTAAAATAACTTAACAAGGGCAGCAGCGATAATCAAGTTAATCTAGCAGATCAGAAAACTAAGGTTCAATTGTAACTTTGAATACAACAGCAATAAAAAAGCCAAAATTTATAAAATATCTACATCATACTATCTTTCCAAACAATTATATAACAAATCATCCCCCTCACCAAAAATACAAATTCACAATTGGAAATAAAATTCTCAGACACATAATTTAAAATTTCTAATCATACCCACAACAAATATTACTTCCACACTAGTAGGCAACTCAGATTATTTTCATGTATATAAGAAAGTTACCTAACACAAAACATTTAAGAAATATTATCTGCATCAGAAAAATAATTTCAGGGCATAATTTTTTTTTTAAATGCAGACAATCCCACCACAAAAAATTAAAAAAGCACTTGTGATATGGTAACTGACTTGTTCCAAAAGGACTTCTGAGTCAACTCCTCAATATTTATACATCAGAGTATATCTGTATGTAAGTATAAAATGAAATACAAGTTCCAAAATATGTAACTTGGGATTATCTTTTATTCACCTTAACACAAACAACATAATCAAATACACTAAAGTAATCCTTACTGTAATTTTGTTACTTTTGTCTATATACAAGAATTATAAAAAAATATATGTTTAGATATTTGCCCAGCAATTTTCTTACCTATTAAAGTCATCAACATAATCTTCTTCTCCAGTCCCTGGAAAGTTTAAGAAAATACATGTTACATTCACATAAAACACTTTGTGATTTATCTATAAATACACATTTCCTGCCAAAACATTACTGACTTCCATTGCAATGTTAAAAGAAAAGTACCAAAGACAAGAAATATTTTTACCATAGTTTATGAAGGTAAATGACCAAAGCTGTTTAAGTTATTATACCACAACCTGAAATGTTGTTAATACCTTGTCTTTAGTCCAGGTTCTCAGGAGCATTTCTTCACAGGGCACACTCACCATTACTCTGCCCTTTGCCCTAATGGAGCACAGTAGCAGCAATTTATTATCAACTCCTCCTTACCTTATGCTGAGCTATCACAACCCATTTCTACACCCAGTGACTCTGGCCCTCTAACTTGCAAAACATGTCTTTCTCCCCTACTAAAGTTTGAGCCTCCCAAGACAGATCTATCCTGGTTGCTGCTAGCACCATCCCTGCCACAGTGACCCTGGACACATGTAAACTGCCCAAACACCTGCTGAGTGAAGAGTAATAGTGAACAACAGTGCTCAGTATAGGCTCCTGGAGTCACTTCACTTAAGATTTGATCCTAAAAGATAATCACTTTAAAAACTAGATATTTACTTACCTAATCCAAGTGATCCAATTTTTTCATTAACCAATTTCAGATCTTTCAAAACTGTACTTCCCCTTTTACCTGTGAACAGAAAAAAATATCAGCATTAAAATAACTTTTAGAATACAACACTCTCTAAGCCACTTTACAACAGTACAGTATTATGACCTATGACCTAAAACAAAAAAAAATCTTTCAAACTGTCATCATCAGATGCTTAAATTATACATTACAACCATTTTTAAACAACCACCATTTCTCCTTATTAGAACACAAGCATCTAGATAATTTTTGCCCAACTATAGGACCTTCCATAAGTAGCCCCAGAAGGCATAAATTCATAGAATACAGTTAATTGCTTTTCACCAATTTTATTCTTCCTTTGAACTTCTATAGTTTGCTTCAACTTAATCACTAATTTATCAAGCTGAACTCTTCACTGGTTTTACTTCTTTAGTGCTCAGTTCTCAATGCCCTCCTAAATCATCCTCTAATCAGTAATATGGCCACAATATGCTAGATTCCTTCTTTGCGGGTGGCAATAACCATGGAGAGAAGGGATGTGGGCCATCTGAAGGGACACACAGCTGGCTTATTAAATGTGTAGTAGCATGGGAACATACCATCTATTGTGCGTTCTAGAAAGACCCACAATTGTGCCTCACAATACATACAACAGAAAAATGTTAAAAAGGATCACAAAATTAGATAAAACTTATACTGTAAATTTCTAATGAAACTAATTAAGGAAACTTTCAAAAGAGATACTCTTATACTCCAGACGTTCTGCCAACTAAATGCCATGCTTACTATGATATGGAATATAGAGTCTGTTATGTATCTGTATGTTTAGAGATATGCCCTTTAATTCTTGGCACTGTCACCATGTGTGAGATAAGGAATAAGAAGGCAAATAGTACAGCTGCTTGGCAATGGTGTCTTTCTAACAACCTCTGTCTCTGCTACATGTAAAAAGATACATCTGATCCAAGTCCCAAATGGTAAAATATTTTATTTAACATTACAATAATTACTGTGGTATCATAGAACAAATTTTTAAGAAATTAACTGAACTTAAACTTGAATCAAGTCATTTGAAATGGTCAAGAGTCAGCTGAAAAATTAAAGATGTTCGTTGACTTACAGCAAGCTTACATCCAATAAACCAATCATAAATTGAAAGTATTGTAGATCAAAAATGTATTTAATATCAGTATCATAGTATGAGATTATAGCTTGGACAATAGACAGTGGGTAGATATAGTGTGTCTTTACTTCAGGCTTATAAAACATTCTGTGAGGCACCTCTCACTATCTCCCTGGTTGATAGATGGTGGAATCATAGGATATCTTAGGAAATGGTTGCACCAACCAGCTGGAAGGAGCAGAAAGACTTTCTCAGCATATGTGAAGCCACCACTTCACATGTTCAGACCTATGCTTGTTGGGTTAAATCACTGAAGTTTGAGGAGTGTTTGATATTGTAGCTGACATTGATCTCTAACATTGGCTAATATACGAAGAACAGCTGTTCCCTTAGAATCTAAACTTCAGAATAGTTTCTCTGGTGTGAAAAACTATAATAATACACAGGATCCTAATGAGGCAATTAATAATGTGAAATAGGAAGTAAAGGGCTAAAGGTGTAAGGAAAGTGGGAAGGCTGGGGTTCAGGTAAACAGGGAGAGGAAAAAAGTATGAGAAACTGAAAAAATGGAAATAAAGTGTTTGTAAATGGGGAGGGGAGGAGGGGGTGAAGGGAGGGCAGGGACAAGGGGAAAAATGAGAATCAATACCTATTATGTAAAGGTACAGAATCCCAATGATGAATGTAACTGTATTTGTATACCTAGATTGTACCAATATCCTCAATAAAAAAGAAAAAAAAAGAAAAAAAAATGTATTTAATAGCCCTAAATTACTGAATATCACAGTTAGCAACACAGCACCCTGCAGAGTGTCATTTGTTCCCCTCCTGACCCTATGGCTGACCAGGAGCTGTGCTGCTCTCTGCTACAGCATCACAAAAGAAGATAATGCATATCACTAGCTAGGGAGAAAAAAGTATGGTCTCTATCAAGTGAATATCAAAATTGCATGAAGTTAAAAAATCTTAAGTCAAACCATCATAAGTTGGGGACCCACATGTACAATAAATATATCAATAGATAATAAAAATCAGCTAAAAAGTCAATATCCTAAAAGTATTCTGATGGCACAGGAAAAGGCAAAACATAAAATGACAGAGAATATGACACTAAAAAGAAATGTAATATATAAAATATTAACAAGAAATATCTGAACAATAAAATTAGACTATTTTTATGATTTTCCTGAAAAAAAACCTAATAATCACATAGTTCTTAGAGAAATCCACCAAGAATACTTAAGCTGCCATCTTCAGGCACTTACTCTCAGGGTCTTTTAATGAGGGGGCTCCTGCCAGAGAGGTGAGTCCACTCCTTAAGGGCGGAGCATCTGAGAGTGAGGCCAGACTTCCTGCTTGCTTCTTAGGTTCACTTCTCCTAACAGGAAGCAAGTGACAATTGCATGGTAATCTTAGATCCTGCCACTAAAGGTTTTATTCTGTCATTAGAACAAAAGGAATTTAAAATATTTTATATGCGTACAAAGGCCAGAAATAAGGAATATATACTTTATAGATTCAAATTCAAAAGGTATACCTATAAAGTAATGCAGATTATTGTCACAAATCCATGCAGCAAAGTTTGTCATTAAGAAATCAGTTCACCTCTTTTTAGAATGTTTCATATTTTACAAGTTGACCTTGCTTAATATACTTCTTGTCTGTGATTTCGAGAAGCTCTTATTCATCATCCCAAAATGCAATCAAGAGACAACATAGGAGTCAACTAAAAAGTAAGCACTACCTCTCAGACACACCTGTTAAGTACTATTTAGAAAGCCACAAAACCTCTTCAAGTCATGAGCACTAGTCTCAAGGAGATGGTTAAACACTGCCCTACCATCTTATACCCTTAACAGTCCATTTTCTCCTTACTTTCTTTTTTGCAGTACTAGGGATTGAGCCTGAGACCACGTTACTAAGCTACATCCTTACCCCTTTTCTTTACTTTTTTTGAGATAGTGCCTCACTAAGTTGCCCAGGTGGGGCTCAAACTTGGAATCATCCTACCTCAGCCTACTACCATACTGGGATTACAGGAGTGTGCCACCATGCCTGAATTCTCTTTCCTTTTTCTACAATACCTTCTCTACCTCAAAGCTCCATCACTCCACCTCTATCCTCACTCACAGGAAATTCAAACAAGTGGTACTGTGCACAACCATCTGGTCCACTCCTGCCTACAAACAGATGCAGCTCTCCATTCTTCTGGCAAAGATAACTTCCCTGGGTGAGAATTCCACCAGGCCAGAAATTCTATCCTTACTCCTTACTTTCTCTCATCCTTAAAACCAGATCATTCTTATCAGTAATACACAATATTTCTTCCACTTTCACAGGTTTTTGGGCCCATAACCCACCCTTCCAGCCATTACCTCAATCCTCTGTACCCTTGTATAATTCATCAGAAAATAATTTATTATTTATAATCCTTACCTCTCATGCTTAAAGCTACTCTAATCTTTTAACTGCTCTCACTCCAACAAAACTGTCAAGGTTATTAGTGACGTCAACGTGGCTAAATCCAGTGGCTTACTTACAGCAGATGTTAAGGCAGCTGCTCCCTCTTGCCACTTCCTGCAAGGACGTGCCATCTCCTGGTTCTGTTTTCTTCCTCCTTCCTGCTCAGATCGAGGTGCTACAGGGCCCGTTTTCATGACCTCGTTTCCAAGCTGTAATGTTACTGATAACTCATAATTCCTTTCTTCGTATCTCCAGTCCAGAGCATTCTCTGTAACTCCCAGTCTTCCAGATCCAATAGCCTAATGCACAACTCACCAAGTCTTCTCACATGTAACATGTCACAGCTCTAGGCTTTCACACTGCCCTAATCTTTCCACTCTTCATCTCAATCTTTCAGGTATTCAGACGAAGAACCATCGGCAAATCCTTTTGAACCTAACCTCAAGATATTTCCAAAAACCACCTAATTCTCATCATGGTCACCTCTACCTCTCCCTGAATAAGTCTCAGAGCCTCCTACCTAGAAACCCTGCATCCACCCTGCTCAGCAGACAGAGATCCTTCTGCATCATATGCTGGAAACAGGAGATATCTAGGGCTTCCAGTTTCAGCCCCTCATCTCAGGGTTCATCTCATACAAGTCCCTTCGCTCTTTCTTTCTTGCTGTCCTCTGGTCCATAAGATACCTTCACATTCGCTGTCTCCTCTTTGGAGAGCCCTGCAAACCCATACATACATTGTGTGGCTTACTCTCACCTCTGGTGCTCTTAGCTCAGCACCCTCCCCTCTGAAGCAGCACAAATTAAGCCTTCCTAGACATGCTACTGAAATACACAAAACCTACAAGCTCCTTCTCCATGTCAGTGTCCTGCTCCCAGCTCTAACACACTGTTAATGTCATTCTTACTGACTTTCTGACTTCATCCTGAAGTGAGCTTCCTGATGGCAGTTTTGCCCTTCTATCACTGTGGCATTCTGTCCCCAAAACAGTCCCTGGGACATGGCAGGCATACACTACAGACTTATCTCATGAAATCAGCCGTGCCAGGTTTATTTAAAAACCTGGAACCACTTTAAACCTAACAGGCTTTAGTGACACAAAATCAGACTTAGAGATTCAATAATACAGAACCATTAGGTTATTACTTTTTTTCTTTGTACCAGGGATTGAACTCAGGACCTTGTGCTTGCGAGGCAGGTGACAGAACCACTGAGCTAAATACCCAGCCCCATTAGGTCATTACTTTTAACATATAAAATAAAAACAGAAATTATATTTTTGAACCTCTAGTGTGTTTATCCAAGAACAGTCTACTCACCAACCGTAAGTTTTTTCTGGTTTAGGAATGGGATCATCAAAGAAAGAATCTCCTTCCATGTCATCTTCACCTGTACAAAGGCCAGCTTTGTCTTTGACATCTAAAGTAGGAGTGCTTAAAAAAGATCCAATTTTTGTTTCATGGGTCAGTGAGTGCAGGCTGCTTTTGCTCTTTGGTTCTGATGAGGAGATAGCTGTATCACTCAGACTGGCCTCACTGTTGGCCTTCTGGAAAGAAGGAGAGAGAACAGTGCTTGGTGAAAAAACTTTTAAGATGTTGTAAAAAACAAGTTGAGTGAACACAGGCAAATTTGTGCATGTGGATATACATCACATTGCCACACTGTGAACTGCACCATAACCCCATGATTTACCACCCTAATCCTCAGGATCCCTAGCATGGCCAACTTTAGAAGGGAAAGTATGTTAAAGAAATCTGTTTACACCATTTCCTTCCTCTGTCCTTAAATAGAAATATCTTTATTATGCCTCGCCTACCTATAAACAACTTTCTCAAATATAAACAACTTTTCCATTTCCTCCCAAATGTGTGCCACTGCTTCATAAAATAAGTTAAATCAATACATTTTCAACATCCAAATACAACTGAAAGACAAAAAGCAGAATATGTCATATACAGTGTCCATACGCAGATATTCACATCTCTCTGCATATCTCCAACCAAGGTAAAAAATTTTCAGGCATTTTTACCATGCCTCACTGACATGGTGAGGTTTGCACAAAATAGCACATTGTATTTTCTTGTTTCCAGTTAGTCCTATCCATCAGAGCATAATTTTAGTTTTGTTTGGTCAAGTATCTCTTTTGCTCTTAGATATGTCTATACCAATAGCAACAACAAAAAATTGCTAATGAAATAATAGCAGCAGCTAATGCCTATGAAGCACATTCAAATGCTTCACAAATGATACTTTATTTAATCTTAAAAATAAGCCTGTAGCTTCAGTGGATATGAAAAAGGAAACATAGGGACAATTTATGTCATTTGTCAAAGTCTTCAGGTAGTTAAGTGGTAAAGTCAACAAAAAGAGCCTCATCCCAGAGGTTAGCTCTCAGTATTTATACAGTTTTGCAATTAGGTTAAATTGTGTTTTATGTGGGTGAAAAAATTGCAGTTCCCAAAGATTCAGACTTTTACACTAAAAGGTATGGCATTGTGTAAGACCTCTGTAATGCTCTAGCAAACATAGTAAACTGAAATAAGGAAAAAGAGTACAGTTTGCACTTGACTATTAACTGTACAATCTTCAATAAATAATTTTCCTAAGCATTATTTTCCTCAAAAATTAAAACTGGGTATTTTTTAAAACAAATTATAACTAGGAGCTGAAACAGAAGAGAACAGTTAAATGTAGTATATTGAGGCAGGGTGGTAGAGTATGGGTTAGATATAATGCATAAGACACTCAGGGAACTGTTATGCTTTCCCTGTTTACAGACAGCATGCACAAGACCTGTCTGAAGATACATATCTACATTTTTACAGTACTCAGAGGCCTGGACTAGGACAGAGGCAAGACAAAGCTATATAAATTTTAGACAAAGCTATATAAATTTTGCATGAAACTATCTCATCCATGTATTATTATTATTATATTTTTGGTACCAGGGATCAAACTCAGGACCTTGTGCTTATGAGGCAGGCAGCACACCACTGAGCTAAATTCCCAGCCCTCATTCATGTATTATTAATACAGATAAATTAATGATCATAAAGAGATGTCTGGAAAAATATATACCAAGTTACCCTTTTAGACAGTACAGGGTATTTTCAAAGAAGTGGAAAATTTTTTAATTAGCCTAGCAACTTTCTTGAAGTTTTTCTGTATTATCAAATATAAAAAAGTATCATGAACTTGTGTATTTCTTAATTAGGTTCATCAAATGTTAAAGTAACTAATTTATATTTTTGTAAAAGCATTACAAATAAATACCCTGAAGTCTTGTGGTACAATTACACACTGAGAGAGTAACTCTCTCCTCCAGAAAATTCCTGAGAAAGTTCAAAATAGTAACTGGCATGAAGAATCTGAATGGGAATATAAAGCAATATCACAAGAAATACGAGTTATTCGTATTCAGTCTTCCCACAAATTCACATTATCAACATAACTTTAGTTCACATTGTCAACTATCCACATCTAAGCTTGTAACCATTATGTACCCATGATTAATTTTTGTTTGTTTGTTTTTTGGGGTGTTTTGTTTTGTTTTGTTTTTTGAGACAGGGTCTCACTATGTAGTTGAGACTGACCTGGAACTCACTATGTAGTCCAGGCTGGTCTCGAACCCACAGTGATCCTCCTGTCTCAGCCTCCCAAATGCTGGGATTACAGGCATGTGCCACCACGCCCAGCCCATGATTAATTTTTGAATGGTTTTAGCAATATCCCTGTGATGGGTAGAAGGACAATTTTTGAAAGACAAATTTCATGAAGAAAGACATTATGCTACACCAATACGTATTTTTAAAAAATTTTAAATAATATGATTATTTTGTTCTCAGTATACAGTTGTTTTACTTTTGGAATAAAAACAAACCTTAAAAACAATTTGCTCTACAACTGATCTCAAAATCAATTTCTAAACCATTTTGACATGTACTTTATAACTACAGCTCATTTTTCACCAAAATTCCATTCCCCAAATGTGTTAACAATGAACCCCTAAACTTAATTACAAATAACTTTTACTATTAGAAAAATCCACAATAAAAGCAGAAAGATTTACCATCAAAATATCTCACAAACATTAAATCAAAAGTACTATTAAAATTTTGGAGCTGTTTCAATGGAGAAAATCTATGTTCACATTTGTATGTGCTAGAATTTGTTTAAAACTTTTATCATGGCTTAGGACAAGCCTTTATTTTATATACATAAACTTTAATTACTTGGGTTTCCTATCACTTAAATTTGAATAAAATGAAATTATGATTTAAAATGAAGCTAAATAGCTACTGTAACATATTGTTCAAAACCAAGAGATACAACTTAATACCTTAGAATTCATTCCTTGAATAACCTCAGAGGTTGCTATGGACTGAAATTTATCACCTAAGAGAGATCTGTTGAAGTCCTAACCCCTGGTACATCAAAGTGTGACCATACATGGAAAAAATGTCACTGCAGATCTATTAAAATGTGACTATATTAGAGTAGGGTGGGACCTAAACCAGTATGATTGGTATCCTTAGAAGAGAAGAAAAGAGGACTAGGGTGCAGCTTAATATGTGTTTAGCATGCCCAAATCCCTCAGTCCCCACAAGAAGGAGAAGAACAGAAACACAGAGAACCACCAAGTGAAGATGGTGGCAGAGCCTGGAGTTATACACCCACAGTCACAGAACACCTAGCTCTGCAGGCTGCCCCAGAAGCCAAGACAGAGAGCAAGTCCCTGTCAACACTCTGATTCAAGCTTCTCAGCTTCCAAACTGTGAAATGATAGGCTTCTATTGTTTTAAGTCTCTCTATTTCTACTTTATTACAGCAGCCCTAGGAAACTAACAGCTATTTCTAGTAACTACTTAAGTTTTGTTTTTTCATAAAAGCAACAGATCTACTGCACAGCACTACAACAGCCATTCAATTCTCTAGGATAGAGCTCAAGACTAATAAGCTTTATTGTAATTCACAGTCTAGTCTTAAAGTTTCACTAAGTACTTAGTTTTCCAATAGAACACTTACATAATCAAGAATTCAATCATTTTAAAATTACTAAATTATCAGCATCAGAGAGAAGTTTTATAGTGAAAAGCACTACTAATTTTGCAGTAGTCCGAAACTGCATTATCACAAGAATGTCTTACAGACCTGGATAAAAGAATTTTGGTTTTCTAAAGTAAAGGCTAATCTACCCTGTCTGTAACAGGAAAAATATCAAAATCAAACACATTCTTCAGCTGTGCAAAAGTATTCAGAAGCTTTGTGCACTATTTCTTTTCCCCATTCATGCTTCAACCTCCTTCCCTAACCCTGCCAAGATAGTTTCTGATCCATGCTTTACCAGTGAAATATTAAAGGAAGTAATTTTCCTACAACTGTAACAAATACACATATTTAGAAAGTTTAATTTGTACCTGATGTTGTAGCACATGCCTATAATCCCAATACTCTGGGAGGCTGAGGTAGGAAAATCACAAGTTCAAGCCCAGCCTGGGCAACTTAGCAAGACTGTCTCAAAAACGGCTGGGGATACAGCTTAGTGTGAAGGCCCTAGTTTCAACCCCGCCAGAAAACCATATACAGTAGAATTCTAGAACCCCAAAACAAACATGGAAATTTCTCTGGAAACAGATTGTTTATAGACACACCCTCTAACTAACAGTCTGGTAGGCAATCTAATTTCCACAGACATTCTGCATTTTTTTTTTTTTTTCTGGTACCGGGGGTCAAACTTGGGACCTTGCCCTTGCGAGGCAGGTGGTGGCACCACTGAGCTAAAACCCGGGCCCTGATCTTTGGACTCCATGATAAGACCCAAGGACAGCTCTCTGCACAGCTGTTCCTGCACCCCACACCCTCTGCCCTTCGCTCATCACAGCTCAAAGGCTCGCAGACTAAGAGGTCAAGCCTAGAGGCTCAGGAAGCAGGGTCTTGGAACTGGGCAGGCTGGACTGCCAGTGCCAGAATATCCACCCTCCCACCACCCCATTTACCCAGGACTGTACGGGGTAGGGAATGACAATGAGAGCTGATGGGGATCCTGAGGTGACTGCCAAAGACTCACATATGCATGGCTTGAAGTACATGCATGATGGAATTACCATCACTATCACTATCGGTGATCAGCAGAAAATTGGGCTTATTCAACGATTTTGAAAAGTAGAAAAAAACGAATTAAGAAATTTCACATTTTTAAGGATTTAAAGCAAAAAGTACCTTAATACACATTCATTTTAAAACACCTGAAAGCTAAAAGACTGAAGATCATAAAAAGCACCCAATTCTAAGTACTAAAAACAAAAATTAATATTTTACTCATTTTCCTAACTAAATGAAAACCTAATAAAAGTCTGTTGTAACTTTTTTATACTGTTTTTTTTTTCAGACTACTAAGACAATGTTTATAAAGCAAAATAAAATAGATACCACAGATGATACTTCGGAAGTAAATGTTCATATGTATTTCCAAATTTGGTTGTTTGTTTGAGATAAGGTCTGGCTATGTAGTTTAGGCTGGCCTTAAACTCACCATGTAGCCCCCAGGCTAGCCTCAAACTTGTGGTACCATTTAATATTTATTCTCCTTGTATTCCAAATCTTCTATCTACTCTTTGTCTTTGAACAACAAAAGCAATATCTCTTAATTTTACCCAAGTTAAATTAGTTCAAAAACCTTACAAATAGTTAAATAGTTATATAAGTTTTGTGTCTCTCTTATATATTCTCACATATCTGCAAATGACTTTTTATTTCTACTACAACTACAGCTTCCTTGAAGAAACTGAGTAAGTCATTAATACTTGTTCCTTCTTATATTTTAAAGCAGGAAGACACATCCACAGGGCTCCAGAACTCCAAGGCCAGCATCATCCTGGGCCATCCTTCTTCCACTGAAGCCCTGCACTATACACCCCAGAGCAGTATGTCCAGTCTATGTATGCAGAACAGAAAAGTGGGGGTCCCACATCTGCACACAAGTTGTGAATGCCACTCATCTATCCTGTGAACATCTCCCTCGAGTCCTGGTGGGTACAATCTCAACTGCCACATGTAAGTGGACATCTGCGAAACAATGTTAAGAATGCTGGGAACCTACGGCACGCAGATGGCAAAGTGGAAAGGCAGAGGGATGAAAAGGTAAGGGCTTATCTGTATAAGGTTGGAAACAGACAATGATGGACATAATACAGAATTTTTACAGAAGCAATTCAGAAAGAACAACAGGAGAGCAGAGGGAAAAAAATTTCAAACTGACTGAGGAAGTATCCTGGGCTCAGGAACACAACAGTGAAACACAAGGGGCTCCCAACTTATAGCCTAATCTCTGGGACATGGACTCCTAAAGACTCTTCCGCCACCCCGTCCCCACAAACTAGGGAGACACGTGAAGTGCTACCCAAGTGAAGGCTAAAGTCTGGACCCACCACACCACATTACAAAGTGAAAACCATTCTTCCTAGTATGCTTTGGTTTTATGTATAAACTTAGTTAAAATATTCCAACATCTTTAAAATGTATATTACTAGTAATGTTATAAAAACTTAATACTATAAAATACACTTTTAACTTTCAAAAACCTCCAAAAAAACTTATTAAAGAATCTAAAAGAAGTTTTAGATTCTTACTTAATGTTTTTAATGTTGTCTCACCTCTTCAGTCAGACTGTGAACTGCTTAAGTGAGGACTGTGTTAAATATGTCTTGCCCACGGCATTACACAATGACTTCCACTATGTAAATGTTCCAAAAATACTTATTGGGTAAAATAACATCTTCTCGTCTAACAATGCATAAAGAACAGTGTGAACAAAAAGAGAATACAGTAACAGAATTTACCGTTGAAACCATGGGAACTAAAGTCAGTTAATACAGCAAATACAGTTTTTTTTTTAAAGCTTTTAATTTTGGAAGTGTTCTACTTAGTGGAAAATATATAAGCCAAGATTCAACAAAGAACTAGTGAATCTCAGAGAATTGAAAAGTAAATCATTTTGTCTTATTCTAAGTAGATATAAAAACTGTACTGATAATGTTTCTAAGATCTCTAATAGTTAAATTTCATAAGCAACTAATCTACTGGCTTAGTTCATTTTTGTGATCTTTAGGGGAGGAAGAAAAAGCAGCCACAGCCCTGACCACTGTGCAGGACTGGCCCTTCCAGTCTGCTGTGAGGAAGGGCCTGAGAGAGGGTCAACAGAGGTGCAATGGTCTGGAGAACAGTAGGACAAATAAAGACATCTGCAGGAAACTAAGTGTAGTCTTTACCAATTAAAACTTGCCCAAAAAAGTAATTTGAGGTTCAATTTTCTTCAGATAAAAATCATAATGTTGACAACATGTACATCATCATCCTTTTAAAAGGAAAATATTTTCAAGTCTTTTTCACTTCCAGTAAAACAGGAATTTTCAAAGTTCAACTAAAAGCATAATTTTAGAATACAACAATATGGTTTTACCTGGATAAAACTGACAAAATTACTTTTTATTTTATGCCAGCACGGCTTTCTCATGTTCTGATGATAGTTAGATGACAGGGACATTTCAAAAGAAAACCTAAAACCCAGGCCAGCAGGAGGCCCATGAATAGAGGGATCTGTCTTGGCACAGGCTGCTTTTCTCCTTTGCCCTCATGCATGTTACCTTGTCACCAGACTTCTGCCCGCTTGTCTTCTTCTTACCTTGTCCTTTATACCTTGGTATCTGAGCATGAGAATAAAATGACATTTTATCACAAAATATAAATCCTTAAAAGTAAACTAACTCATTACCAAATTAATAAAAATTTCCCATTAGAAGATGTATTACAAATGGAAAATCTAGTTAGCATGTTCCTCTTGACACCTATTTTTCTTGTCTTTTCTTAATACTGTTTTTAATATGCCTGAACTCACACGTTCCAAGTACCCAACAGGTAGGAACTAAGTACAGACAGCCATCACCTGCTCAAGCTGCAGTTCGTGAAAAAAGGCTCCCTTCACACTATTTGACTGAGTTCTATATAAGCCTGAGTAGCTTTGTTTAAGGCTTGTTCTGACCTTACCTGACCTGCCTCAGGAGCACACAAAGCTGGCTCCTAAAGGATGGGCTGGACCCTACCCTGGGCCACATCTTTTCAGAGTCACTCACACTCTCAGTGGGATCTTAAGGAAGATGAGGAGACATAGAGTGGGGAAAGTACTGGAATCCCAAATCTAAATCCTTAAGGTCTACATGAGAATTGCATTTTAAGTGCCAAAACAAAGATTTATATGAAAATAGATCCCACTCCAGCTTAGTGATCAAGTTATCTAGGTTATTTCCAAAGGAGCCACTGCTACTCCAGTTAATGGTGCACACTAAGAACCAGAGACTACACTGAAAGGTGCAGAAGCTCAGTGCCCCCTAGAGGACAAATATGTCCTTTAAACCAGCCTCAAAGATTCTTCTAAGAATTTAGAGCAGCATTTCCTAACTGACTCAAAACACTTTAGGTATCTTATCTCAGCTCTTAGATCTTAAAAAAAAAAAACTTTGGTAGAGAGTAAGGATATGTAAAATACTTTAACTCTTTTCTGGAAGATAATACCTTACATAGGTTAATATTGCTAATTTGCTTTAAAAAAAAACAAAAACAATTTGCTTCCGGGAATTTACTTCATTGGTTCCGCAGCCTTGCCTGGCCTGCCTCGCAAGCGCAAGGTCCCAAGTTTGATCCCCAGTACCAAAATATTAAAAAAATTTTTTTAAACAATTTGCTGAAAAGAGAACTTCCAAATAGTACAAGTACTGCTAAGTATTTTGGAATTTTATTAATTTT